CTCCAAGGATCCATTTGAACCTGCTGGAGGGGACCCCGTGAAGGGAAATCCCGAGCCTTCAGAAGTATCACCAACTGATTCTCGCCCAGTTCAAGAGGCCGATGCGCCATCAGAAAGCAAAACCACCAATGCCGATGGCGAAGCCTCCCCATGTGCTCCCGAAGCTGCATCTGCATCTGCAACTGCATCGGCACCTGCAGAGGCTTCAGCCGCTGTCCCGGAGCAACCGTCCACTTCCGCGCCCGTAGAGGCGTCGGGTACCGAGAAGTCGTCGGAATTGCCTCCCGTTGATGTCGAGCTTAAAGATACAGAAATGAAAGATGCAGAACCACACAATTCCATTCAGGATACGGCTTCACAGGGTGGGGAAGCAGAAACCGACAAGGCAGAGAGTAAAGTTGAGAAACTCGAAGCAGAGAAGCCAGAAAAGGCTCCAGAAACCGCAGCTCAAGCTCCGCAGTCCTCAGGGCAACCCTCTGGCGACGAGACTTCTGCGGCCGAACCCGCAAAACAACCTGAGGTAGACTTGCCAGCTACACAACCAAAACCCAGCGAAGCCACACAACCTACAGAGGAAAATCCCAGCGATGGAAAGAAGGAGCCAATTCCTGAGCCTCCTGCAGCTGCCGGCCAAGTAGTAGAGGCAGTCGCAGCTTCGGGGGAGCTCTCGCCTACTGCAGTGCCGGCCACTGCTGAAGCACCTTCCCAAGCCGACTCACTTAAAGATGCCTTGGTCCCAACACAGTCCGAGAAGGATACTCCCGAGGTGCATGCTAATCAGCCAATTGTCGTCACTGGAGACGCACCACAAGTAGAGGTCCCTCAACCTCCTTCAGTCATTGAACAGACGGGACGCAACCTGACGATCTTGGAAAACTTTGATGAGAAGACGGCTCAAAGTCGCGAGTTCAGCATTTATTTCAATGCGAAAAAGCCTCCGAGGCTGACCAGTATGTCAACCATCCCCTTGACCCACATAATGCATGCATCCTCCAGAAAGAAAAATAGACTAAAAAGCATGATAGAGATCTCCTCATCCCTTTGTGTGATCACATCACTTCCCTCCCGCTATCGAGACCCTGACACGTCTCTTCCATTCGCAAACGCCTACGCGTATCACGAAATCCGAAACGCCGTGTCGCAACAGTTCAGTTGGAGCCCAATGCTTGGGTGCTATGTCGGCCCAGCTGGAGTGGCTGCACGTGGAGTGCCGGCCAGGTTTTTGGGCGGACCTGAAGCAAAGGAGGAAACCAAGGAGAGTGCACCACCCACTGCGGGCGATAAGGCTACCAACGATTCCCCTGCGACCAAAGCGGACGGGGAACCAAAGGCTCCAGCTGCAGCTGAGGCCTCGAATACCGCTACTCCTGACCCTGGTTCGGCTGCTGCATCCGCTCCTACCCCAGCGGCCACGGGAGATCCAATGGAGGTTGATCGATGATTGGATGGCAGCCTGAGCTGCCTCCAACTTCCGCCTTTCTACCTCAACCTGTATAACACTCTGATCCATTCAATGATACCCATGTCAATTATTACAATATGCCTAGAGCGATTGCACCTGGCTGCTATAGCCTCATCCACCAATGCTCCCTTTACCACACGATAGTATGCTAGGAAAACAGGTCATAGTTGAGGCGTGTTCGCGTTCGCCTGGTCTACTGTAAACATGTTGCAGTACATTAATTTATGCATGCCATAGTTGCTCCCGCATCGAACAGGGGCCATCAAGGTGCTTCATGCATTGTGGGAACGTAGAGAACCGCCGACCATCTGGTCACCATGGGTAAGCTAGTGTGGTATTGCTGCCGCTTCTTTCCAGCTCACCATCAACTCGCCAGTAGTCAACGTCGTAGAATGATAAAAGTTAGTATCAGTAAAGGCGCAGCGGTCCACATGCGGCGTCCATAACAAAATCACCTCGTGTCCACACATCAACGACTCGAGGTACTCTCCACTGAAATCTATACCGCTATCTCACTACACAACCCGTTCAAACTTAGAAGCAACCAGCACGCTTGACTTGAATACTCACCACCACCACCCCACAAGTTATTTGGTGGATACTGGTAGCTGGCCAAGGAGCCGAACAGCCGCCGAGTCCCCACCCTATCTGTGCTATATACTTCAACTTATAGTGATGTAGTATCCTCGGCCCTCCTACCCAACGCAGATTCTGCAGTGCATATGCGCAGACAAGCCAATTCGATTTAGGAAATAAGGGAAACCCCCCAGCCTGAAGGTTCCTGTTCCGTACCAGTCGGTACATGCGGAAGGGTGAGTGATGTTGCATTGGTGCGGAAAACCACCCTCCCCCCCCCTCCCCCTTCGGCCCCCGCGTCTGGGGTTGATTTGAATGCGGGCGAGGGGCAGATAGAGAACGAGAAGGTTCCTTGGTTATCAAATTCAATAAGACGGAAATTGTTGGATGTGAGAGATTTTTTTTTTCTTACGCTGAATGGGTTCTGGGGGGGTTAGAGTTTGTTCGAGCCCAACGTCTAACGTGAGTGGGAAAGTCGAGGTAAATTGCTTGCCTTGGTTGTATGTACAGTACTGTTATGTATGTAGATTGGTGAGGCGGCGCGGTAGGGAAGATTAGTTTAGCTTGGTTGGAGTGAGGATGTACTGTTAGTACTGTATATTGTATACAGGTGCTTATCTGCCCTAATGAGGCAATTTGGCGTGTGATAGTAATGGGATGATGGGAGGGAGGGAGGAAGGCGCGGGATAGCCGACAAAAAAAACAATTACAGAGAGCGAAAGCGAGAGCGAGAGTGAGAGTGGTGGATGGGCGATGATCTTCCTGCGGCCCGGTGGAATGTGAGTATTGTCTTCTATGTAGGATGTGAACGGTGATCACTGAGTTTGGGGCGTTTAGAAAGATAGGTAGTAGCAATCTATCTGGAGATAAAGAGCCAAGGGGTTGGAGGGGTAGGTAGGTACAGTAAGTTGCTAGGCAGGCAGGCACTGTAACAGCCACGGCCATGGCTGCATCGCATCGGCATTCCCGCTGAATGCAGTAATTTAGGTCGAAGATACAGTAAGTATCTTCATTGATGGAGGGACGGGAAGGGGAAAATAGCCGTTTGCACCCTAATTTGATACTGTAACTACGATGTACTCCGTACTGGCAGCATGGAAGGGAGCCGTTGTGGCAGTCACCAGGATTCGGAAATGCTATTTGCTTTTTTTTTTGTTTATTGAAACTGAAATCCTGTACATCATTAGGTAATGCAGGCGGAGGTTTGAAGTGAAGTGAGGCTGTCGTCAATGAATTTCGCAAAGTCAAAGATTATTTCCCCGGCGGTCCACGTAAGCGACTTACCTACGCAGACTGGAGAAAGTGGCTTCGCTTTGTCAGAAGTCCAGAACAGATCCTGACACGGTCGAGATCGGTGGACCTCGGAGTTTGAAAGTGCAATGAGTCGATACTTGGTCCGGAGTTATTCGTCAGACAAGTGGAAAGGGAAGTTGATTCCTGGAACGACCGGTCCATCCGCCTTGAGTCAAATACTCAGTATATTTCATCCATAACGACACCGTAGGGAAGACCGGCAAAGAGTTTTCATTTGATAGAGAAAGACTATTCATAAATGAGGGAGGCGGCACGATTTGGACAAGACTGTGATTGAGATAGGGTCTTGTCGTCTATCATGCCTTGAATTGTGGTTGCAGTTATCGTAGAACTGCATGGTGCGCTTGATGAGCGTTGAAATTGCTTTTTTTTCCCTTTGCTTTCTTTACCCCACTATCATTGACTCTACATTATTATCTCAATGGCATCATAGACCACATCGCCTCCAGTTCGGCGGCCGGGCAATAATTTCCTCTCCGACTTTGTCTACTCCGTTGATCGCCGTGGACCTTGTAGGCGCAAGCCGTTGATGCGCTTCCTTTCCTTCCTAAGCCTGTCTCATCTATTTTCGTCGTCCTTATTTATCAAAAATTTGTCCCCTTTCATCAGAGCAGCATCGGAATCATGGAAGCGTTCCTGTTGTGGCTGACCCCGCCGAACTCTCTTTGCTTCTGTACCCCTTCTACCGATAAACACCAGATACCCTTCCAGACATTTGTATTGATGGCGTCACACCCCCAAGGTGGATGAACCGGTGGAAAGATAAAGCATGTACTCCATAATGAAGTGCAGTCTCGAACCTTCCTTGTTTGCCCACCACCACCAAGGTCAACAGGTATTCAGGGCGTGTACGTGTTGTACTACCGGTATGCACTGCATTCGAGCCATATGGCGCGATCATTGGATCTAAACGGCGGCTGATCTTACCGCACAGATCCTACTAGGGGTCGTCGCAATTTCAGATACACGACGGAGTCCGCGCTGGAGACGCACTAGTTACCATGTGTAAGTTTGTACGTAAAGCATTGGTCTATCCCTTCCTTGTACTCGGAGTCTTAGACACTGCCCTTGAGACTCTAGACCAAGAGCGGTGGAGTAGGAGGGATTGACAGCTGACGCCCCTCGGTCGATGATGGGTGCCCGAATCAACGAAGGGTGTTGACGATCAGACCTAGAAGCCCCGCGTAGACCATATCGTCCGGAAGCCAAGACGACATGTCATCCGGATACGACAGCATGATTGGGAGGGGTTGAGCTTTTTCCCTCTCGACCCGATAAGCGTGGTTCGGTCGGTTATGGAAAAATCCAGAGAGAAATCGAAAGGGACAGTGATGTGATGTGATGGGCTAGGAATCAAACCGACAAATGGCTCTGCTAAATCAAAACCAAGCGTCATCACACTTGTTCAAGTAAAGTAGTTACCTAGGATTGTGTAGGAAATCGTAGGAAATCAAGGCTCGGTGGAAGTGACTCCGTAGTTACCTAGGTTATCTCCAAGTAACTTACTACTGTATGTACATGTACAGTACCCCGCTCCGGCAACGCTGGAGTGCCGATTGTAGGTATGCCGATTAGAATTCCAATATAAGAATGCGGGAAGGCGAACAACGGATCCGGAGAGGGCTGGAATCTAATTCTTTCTTTTCCTTCAGTCTGACCTCAATTCTCTCCACCGGATCCAGAGCAGTCACAGCGTCCAGGTACTAAATTTAGAGACCATCCAGCGAAAATTCTGTTTCAACCAGCGGAGATCGATTGCAACGGTCCCCAGTGCGTCAGTGCAGACCGTAACTGCGGAGTATCAGTTACGAGTAACTAAGTTGACTTTGTGACTTTGCATTGGACAATTAGGTCATCCAGGCTCCAGCTGGTGGTGAGGTAAGCAGGTGTTATTTTTGTTATGTTGCTCAATGGTCTTCTCCAAAACACAATTGAAGACACGATTGCGCGTCGACTGCGGTGCCTGAGGCCAACAGGGAGGGGAGGGGGGGTAAATCCCTCCGTTCTAGACCGCAATGGCGTGACTCTCCAAGGGTGGACTTTGACGTGCTCGGCGGTTGTCACCTCGCCCTGGGGAAATAATGCGCAATCGTTTGGGGAAGAAAAGCTGACCTTTTCTCATCTAGGTGGTATTGCTCTACTCTACCCAAGTATACGGATAGAGTTCAGTTCTAGAATTCCCCGCTGTTCAGTTATATTTACCATATCTTCCTCCTCCTCCTCCCCCCCTTCTCGCCCTCCCTCTGCTTTCCCTCGTCATACTCCCACTCCCATCGGTTCATCGGCAATCGGACATACATCCATCGATCGACTTTCCAAGAAGGGACCGGAATCGACCATCATTCTTATACATCGACGATTCTTGTGTCTTGTGTACCTCATCTCGGTATCCCTTGGTCACGCAATATTCTCCGAGCGGATTTTTTGGGTTTACTTCTCAGCCAGCTGCACGACAACCCATCACCGCCACTTAATAATCCCGCAACGGGATCACAACAACACCCTTCTTTGGCATCAGCCGTTGCACGTGCGGTGCGGTGTACCCTGAGAACGATATCGTCATCGGCCTCTCTTATCCCCAACAATTACAAGAAAAGAAAAAAAGGGGGCAGGAAATTCAATTTTCTCTGCAAGCCAGACAACGAAAATAAAAATTGGTATGTATGCCTCCTCGTATCAGGCTAAAATCTATTATGCCTTGTTGGAAAAAAGTCCCTTATCTCTCCCCACTCAGAGGCCTTTGATAACCGTCCAACAAGTCGGCCACTTCCCGTTTTAGTGGAACTGCGCCTTTATTTCTTGTGACTGATCTGACCATTGCCGTGCCACTGCAGATACACCGATACACACTCTGAAAAGCTTATCGGCATCATTATCATCATAAAGAATTTGCAATCCGGCTGCTACATATTTGCCTCATTGCTGGGGTTCCCTTCCAAAAAAGAAAACACAAAAAAAAAAGGGCGCTCAGATCTGTATTCTTAGGTCATTCCGTCGGATTGATCCAGCACATGCTTTCAATCATTGCCTCCTTTCTGGACAAGTGCGAGGCATTATTACCATCACGGGAACTGCAGTACCTCTCAGTTCCACTATCCGAGACAGGCTGGTCCAGCTGGTTGGTCCAGCTGTGCACTTGACCCTCCCCCCCTGCTAGTCGCAAATCCCTCATACTCTGACCCCATCAGGGGAAGCTCTCGTGCTCCACAACTGGACGCGGCCTCCATCGGCGCAAGGTACCACCCGCCGAACTATCTCAGATAGAGCCACTTCGGTGCCTCTGGACGAGTATATTTTTTTATTTTTATTTTTTGATTGCCCTATACATATACCCCTTCACCGCCATCAATGACTCAAGGCGCTTTTCATCATCGTCGCACACCCTCGGGTTCAAATGCCACTAAAGTGAGGACCTCCCGGCCGGCACTACATCGGAGAGGCACTTCCTGGGTGAATCATTCCATCTCAAAGCTAGGCTCTGGACAGCCCAACAAGCATTTGCAGGTGGAAGACGACCGGCAACCCGAGATGGCGGCCAGCTTCCTCAATTTCTGGTATGTGCCTGGATTGCTTCTTCTTGGCTTGCATTTTGTCTATTCTCTTATCTAAAGTTCACTCAAAGCTAATTGATCAACAGCGCCATGTGCGAGAGACAGATAACAGTGCCAGACAATACTCTTCTTTATTGTAGTGAAAGGTATGAGAATCCCCTTATCGTGCACAATACTTGCCAGCCACTGAGCACAGCTCTGTTGTTTAAATCTCACCTCATCGCCCCTATCCGCCCTCAACATCCGGTTTCTCATGCTTACACTCATCTTATCTATAGCTGCCGTCGCAAGGACTCCCATAAACCACTCTCAGCATCCTTCTCATCTGCTCCCTCCATGTCTTCCTCTTCGACTCCTCCGAGCTCGCCTTTAATGTCGCCTCGGATGATTGTCGCCCCCTTGACCCCGACAAGAAGCTCCACCAGATTGTCCAGCTCTGCCCGGATACCCGGCGAGTGGCTTGATATCAAGACGGATCAGGATCCCAGCGAATGGAAGCCTGTAATACCGATGGGTAACGGTGCTCATTCAGTGGCAACCTCGGATGCCTGGAAGTATCTGTCCCAGTTCCACAACGATGATCGTGGTGTGCCGCTGCGCCGCCCTGGGCTCGGTCATCGCAGCTCCGCCAGCCTGACTACTCTCATGAGTAGCACGGGACCCGTTCCCTCGCTGACCCATACGCCGTCTACGGTCGCGTCGTCATTCAGCAGCAACGCGTCGGATTACATGAGTCAGATGCACGATCCGGCATACCGTCCGTTGCCGCCGCGCCACAACCCGCACTTTTGCAGTTCGAGTGCGGCAAAAGGGGTTGAGCTGGTAGTTCCTCACGTCCATGTGCAGGCTGAGGACGTCTCCCCCGTTGACATGTCCAATGATGGGTCCATCTTTCCTGCCAGCAGTGCACTGTGGAATGATAAGCCTCTCAACAAGACATCTACCCTGACTACGACCTTGGGTGCAGTGAGCTCCGATGTGCCTATGCGTTCTGTCTGAGCACTAAGTTAGCTGTTTCACGTACTTGCATAGTTGAGTGTTTTGAAATCATCCTCAGTTCCTCAACTATACACACCTGGGTCGCGTGCCAACTGCAACAATGGTTTCATCCTTCTATTCTTCTTCTTCTTTTTCTTTTTTTATCATCCACTTGCAATCATTGGACAGGGAACATGATAGAAAGCATGCGAGAAACAATGTCATGGGCGATAGGCGTGGAAACAACTCTTTTTTTTCTTGAACATGGACAACAGCAGCATATTATGGGATAGACTCTTTAATAAGCAAGCAGGTGTGGGGCTTGTAAAAAGGCGGATAGTGGCGAGCATTTTAGCTAGACCTCACGAAGTGATTCTTCTACAACCACAACTCTTACCGTGAATGTGAACCAGTGGAGCCTGCGAGTCAGGCTGAAAGTGGACGTGTATACTTCAGACCTTGTACGTAGCTTGCTGTCCATCGGTCTGCAAGTCTGCCGGCTTACCCCAGATTCTCATGGCTTGGCCCACCATTCTTCATCGGCCTTGTAGGCGAGTCGAACTGGTGGCATTAGCTAGCACAGGACGATACTCAAAGTTAATATGTAAGTAGTGAGCCAACTCTGCATATCTGTTCGGCACCATGGCAGATGTCAAGCATTTGGAGGCACAAGGTTTCAGAACCATCAACACTTGAGAGCCTGTTACGAACACCGTACACTTCATGTACAGTATTGCCTCAGAATAGCAAGTCAAGTGCACTACCCCGAGCCGGAGGTGCATTACCCACTCAATCTAAAACCACCCCCATCCATCGTATGCACGAGCAACATAAGTAAGACAAGCACGAATGACATCAACGGCATAGAATCCATTACACCGGACTACTCGACCTTATATAAACCGTCCCGCTTGAGGATATCAACCTTCATAGTATAAACCCGACTCGCAAGTACCGAGTCCGTTCGTACAGTCAGTCCATCATACAACTCGCCCTCGCGCCTGTATACGTATATACCCCCGAAAAGCAAAGCCAGCCACCGTCACCACCCGACGCGGGCGTCTTTCACCTCACCTCACATCACAGCAAAAGCCACGCCACACCAATCGAACCGAGCCCCTAACGGCTCGGCGGAATTAACCCCCCCCCTTTCGATCTGAATCAAAAATCCCCAAAGTCATCGTGAACGTGATCGGCCCACGCATCGGCGTCGTCGTCCGCCCAGCAGCATACATAGCATCCTTGGTCGGGTTGGTACTGTTTGTCGTGGTGTTAGCCAGTGAACCCACCAACCGGGGTTGAGGCGAGGCGATGCAAGGAAAGGGGCTGTGGGCACGGCACGGCCACTCGTTGCAGGACAATGCAGCATGACCTCAAGCCCACACAGGGCACTGGGTGATCGAGGCATATCATGGCAAGGAGGGGAGGGGGGCGGTTGGTCTACCTTGGTCTTGGGACAGGTCAACAGCTTGGGGTTGCGGACACAGGAGCCCACGCAGGCCTCGTTGCCGATGTCGATGCCGTGGGGACGGCTCTGGGCCGAGACGGTGGAGGCCAGGAGGGTGACGGTTGCGAGGAGGAGGGCGGAGAGTTGCATTTTGGATTTATTTTGCGGGTTTCTTTTTGGGGGGTGGGAGATAGGGGGTAATGTTGATGGTTGTGTATGTGGATGTGTAAATGAGTGACGAATGGTTGTTTGGTAGAAGGAGTGGAACGTCTGGGGCTGTCAGACTGTGGGTTTGGGCTGCACGGTTCTGTTGGATGTATCTACAAGATCTTAGACTACAGTCAACAGTGACTCGGGGGAGGGAGCTTTAAATTGAGAAACCTACCCTGCGCGCCATACATACATACATGCCTACGTGATGCGTGGGAATCGGGAAGTAAGGGGGTGTGGGTAAGCAGCTGGGTTTGTTTGGATTTCGGCAGGCGTTATGGGAGTTCCAACTTCTGGGTCGTCGCGTGTTGACACCTTCTCGCTAAGATGGATTCTTGGCTCATCACTTGAGCTCAGTCAGGTCTCTCTGGGGATGCGATCGAGAGGGAGCAGGTGAGGAGGTTGAAGAATGTGGGCTCGAAGGGGGCGATGGGCTGGTCGGTCGGTTGGTATTCGATGGGGTTGGCTGTGGTATGTGGCTTTCAATTGGAAGTAAACAAGGTTGCGAGATCGGCTCACTGGATGGGAGGGAGATTGTTCTCTACGCTATGTAGCAAGTTGATATTGTTATCTTTTACGTCCATCAAAGAAGGTCCAAGCAGTGGACTCGTTGGAGGTTACAGACAAAGGAAGAATTTCAGTATAGAACTGAATGTCGTTTGCCCTATCGAGTCTTCGTAGTCAAGAAACAACAATGTATACGTATACCACATCCTCGAGGTAGATGCTGTTGTTGACAGTGTGATGAACCCTCTCTCGCGCAGCGAGGATATCAAGGTTGTTGAGACGTCATTGCCGAAAGACCCGTCTGGGTCCTATAATTGAGTGGCCTGTGGAATGATGTGACATTGAGAAGCAGCATTAGACTGTGATGGAATAAGATGGAAAAGAGGGCCATCGATTGCCTAGGCTTCCTGTAGTGCGGCCTGTCAAGTCTGCCACCTCAGACACCAAGGCGGACAGCTTGTTCTGATCGAGAACGAGGATATGTATAGTCTTTCGTTTTGCAAATTAATCAGTCAGAGCTATATGAGCAATGCGATCTCCTGTGCACTGTACGGCAGCAAGGGAATGGATGAAAATGTATGGTTAGGGTATGTCTAACCGAGTTTGGAAACAAACACATCCTACTAATCAGGTTCGCCTGATAGCGGCCGTTCGACGAGAGGAAGCCGCGTCAGGAACGCAGATGCAATCCAGACAGACTTACCTCTAGCATCATATGAAGGAGGAGGGATAAAATGAGCGGAAGTGACATGTAGTTGGAATCGTCAAGCGCATGATATCCCCTATGCTAGCTTTACACAGTCTAGGGATCTTGGCCACGGACGGACAAGCATCCTGGGCCCCTATCGACCTGACCGTGTCATTGTTCTGCGGATAATATTTCCGAAGGTGTGAAATGCAGAACGAGCCATTTGTAGTGTATTCCAATGCAGCATTGGCTATGCTTCACAACGTGACCCGGCCAGATCGCATGGCCTTCAAAGGCTGAACAGTCTGACCATGACAGAGGACGAGGACGAGGGTGGTTATTTCCATAACAGCAGCTCAACAAGATCGGGCAATCGGAGGAGAGAAAACAAATTGCGAAAGTATTCAAAAGACCTGGGTGGGAGAGAAGATGGTTAAAACTTTGATGTTGATGCGTTTCGATCGCTGATGGCGTCGGATTGATTTGCATTACCAATGGAAGTTGATACTCAGCTTGACAAAAGAGGTTGTCTAAAAAGATTCGCCGTGTGTAGAGCCTAGCTGAGCTCGACTTGACTCCATACAAGCAATGGAGTCATGTATCTCACCGCAAAAGCGAGAGGTAGGCTGTTGCGAGCCTACGGCCCTGGCGTTCATCAAAAGTACCATAACCTCCCCAAACAGATGACAGGTAAGACCTGCCCCTGAGTGAGCGTCATTAATGCAGAAAAGCCAACCGCAAAGATTGGTACGCGAAAAGACCTAGTCGAAAGTGCCGTGCATGCGAACAGCGGAGCCCAATAAGCGGCTCAGGAATCATTATCCATCACAGAGACAGGAGCGGCTCTCCGCCAGACTCTGCTTCTCGTTTTCACATCCTCAATCTGGTCTTCCTCGAAAGGCCGTCTGTCGAACGTTTGTTGTGCTCCCACCCCCAAAGCCGGCTCCTTATGACTGCATGGGAGCTGAGATCTCATACCCCGGAAATATCTTCCATACCCGCCTTCGGGCTGTACTTGCCGATTTGACGAGGTTTACTCCCTCTTATTGCTTATTTGAACAAAAGGGGGCTTTTTAGCAGAGGAGACTTGCTCTAGCTGTGGTCTGAGTCTCGCTTTGAGACTTCCCCGACAACAATCCTGGATTTACGCGCGGGAGAATTCGAATATGACTTAAATGGGTGCATGAAGGCATCAAGGCGTACCATCACTTCGGGCTCATCGGGGCGTTTCAAAGGTCCTGGTTGTTGTTTGGCTGTGTTGCTAGCCATCAAGACTAGGAGTGCTGGAATACCCAATATATCGCGACCCTCAGAAGCCAATCGAAGCAAGATTGACTTAGGATCCGATCGAGCCAATGGATCCACCGATGCTTGTCAGTGCGGCTTAGAGACCAAGTGCATGTGCCTTGTCGCGCAATGCAGTGGGAACGCATCCCCTGGTCTGTTGAGCGATTCACCCCAAACACTCTTTCTTACACGATCGACAAATTCGCCACATGTGAAATCATAGCATCGAACGTGGCCGAGAGGGGGCAGTTCAGAAGTTGACAGCTGCTAAACCCCGCCGATCCGAATCCCTGTGGCCGCAAAACAATGCCCACGAGAAAATTCAACACTCCCCCAAGCGCAAGCGCCTCTCTTTCGTTCCTACCACTTCAACAAGCCTGATCGAATTGCCCTTATGCTTGAATGGAATGCAACCGTGTCGGGTCGGCCACCTCGCAGCTTCGAACCGAGACCCGCGCTAAGGCAGACTAAGACGTCCATCGATTGCTGCCGCGACTTCCGTTGAACACAATCAAGTGCAACATGAACGAAATAAATCAACGAGAAGGTCATCTCAGAATGCACGATGCGAACCTCTCACCGGCCATGTCCTCCGTTTCAAATTGTGTGCGATATGTATATCAATGCCGGCCCGTGTTGGTGCCTAGAAGCTCACTGACTTGTGCCTGTTCCTATGCGTTCATAGAGCTGCGTGTGTCTGGTATTCGTGCCCTTCAATTCTGCAACCCGACCCTGCGCTCTCACAAATTGAAGAGCAAACCGAAAAAAAATCTTGTCCTGCTCATCTTCAAGGTCATTCCATATATGGACAAATCGATGGCCACTCAGATCCAAGTGAGCGCATCAATGTCCACAAGCTGTCCACCTCTTACCAATATGATGACCCTATCTCATGGGTATCGTTCCGTCCCTTAACACTACTACACACATCCCCCTCTCAGTCCTGTCTGTGTCCAAAGCTCGGGGGTTTCTGCTTTGGCATTGTATGTGCCCAGCCAGGTCGTGTTTAATCGTGCGCATTCTTGAACCAGCTCTTGAGGTGTTGGTGCATCTTTGATAAAGAACGCAAGGGGTTGCTCTTGGTTGGGAAGTGCATCAGACAGACAGTTGCCTGGAATCCATATCGGACCTAACTCTTTGCGGGAAAAGAGTTTTGAAAGTGGACAGCAGACTACCCCATGTTAACTCCAAAGTTTCACTACGACCATGAGATTCGAGAAGCGGTGGGACGGAAAGTTCTGGATTTCCGATTGCTGATACGCGTTGACCATATTGAACGACATGTGTTGAGCTCATAAGACCTATCTCGCACGCAAGATTTCCTCAGTAGCTGCACAAAGACTGGGTGAAACAAAGACATGATGGTAGGATTATACCTCTGCGATGGCCCTGCATCTGAAGTGCCCTCCGTCGTGTTCTGGCCGAAGTACGGGCGCCTTTCGAGATATGTCCACAATCGATTGATTTCTGTGACGTAGTCGCAAGATTGACAAGGCACGGTTTTGATAGAAATGGGGAGGAGCATATGGCTTCAAACGGGGAACAGAAGCCAACAGAACGTCCGTCCCAGATGACTACGGGCGAGTCTCAACATCTGGTAGATTTGCTTGAGGGTGACCAGTCGACGTACTGGTTATCGACAAGAAGTTAGGTTGATAAAAATGAGAGCTGAAGGCCGAGTGACGCGTGTTGTCCGTTGCGAGATGCGGTCGAATGAAGGTGACAGCTGGAGCACGTTAACTGCGCCAATGGATAGCGGGACAGGTACCAAACTGCCGAGCAATCCCCTGGATGAGCTAAATGATTAGCCCCAAAGGCAAGTTCTTCACTCGTGTGCAAGATGTACGGAGTCTGCAGTTTTGGCAACAACATGACCTTCTGATGAGGGCATTCGCGGCAGTGGCAAAGCCAGGGGAGACAATCTGCAGCAGCAAGCCGGTGGAGAGAAGACTAGTGGGCAGCTACCGGCGGCAGCTACATCAAGCATCGAATTGAGATACAAAACAATAAATCAGCTCTGAGCAGCGGGGAATCAATTGAGCCTATCTGAGAGAATGGATGATATTTCCAGAGGATTGCAGGTTCGTCCACCGGTCCTTGTTCTGTTCTTCGTGATGGGCGGCGGAGACCGCCACGGGCCCAGGGATTGGTTGGGGACTTTTTCCGGGGTTTGGGAGGTGGTCGAGACAAGCAGTCTTTTCCGGCCATAAAACCATTCCACGACCTCCAAATCTCCAATTTACACCTCCATCGAACTTGATGGATGGATATACTTCAATGACTAATCCCGATTCCTGTGTTGCTGCTATGCTATGCTATGGAAACCCATCGGGGATGTTTCAGCATACCAAAACGTGCCATTACAGAGCATCCGCAGCGTCCGTGATGGTTAAGTGGCCCCCCCGATTTCAATGGTATATTGGGTGGAGTACTAGCGATACCCAGATACCCAGTGGTACTTGCCACTGAGGGTTCCGGTGTGGTTTAGGGTGAATTGTGGCACTTGCTCATTACCTACGGGCTGCAACTCAGGCTCGATTTGTGACGGTCTACCCCTTCTGTAGGCGCGCCAGTGCGCCTATCAGTCCACCCTGTCACCCAGTTTGTTTGGCCTAAAAGGCATGGATATCTTTTCCTCCCTCATCTCTCTCTCTGTCTGGTTCCAACCTGGCAGATGAAAGCTCTCCCCTACCTCGCAAATGGCTGATGCGCGGAAGTATCGGTTGAGTGTGTGACTCTTCGGACACCGCATTGACTGCCCAGGGGGTCAGCCTCAGCCGACTGCCAGCCTGCCAGCCTGTCACTCTGTCTAGGAGGGACTAGACACGACTAACTCATTGCACTCTTACTTCCTATCACTGCAACTTCCCCCTCTCTCTGGCCGTCCAGATATCATCCAGTCGATAGTGCTCTGCCTCAGTGGGAATCAACCATTCTTTCCTACTATTCCATTTTACGCCCAACCTCATCATTTCCCATACCTTTCTATTGCGAGAACCCCCCTGACATACTCAGCCGGATCACCACCAGAACCCCGTGTCGCTCCCGTCTTGTGCAGCCCTCAACCACTACCCCGCGGGACCTTGAGGCAGCCAAGACCAGCAAACTTTTGCCTTGTGACGATATAACAAGATGACTGCGGAAGAGAGCAGCTCTGCCCCAAATGGAGATGAAAGGTAGACACTTTTCAGCCCTGGAACTCACTACGCTGGCCCCGCATTCGTTCCTGCCTAACCGTCTGTGATTTTTTATAGCCTCCACAACGACCACCCCGACGACACTAGCCAGAGTTCTGATCTTGAATCAAGCACCTCACAGGCCCCTGAAGAACTCGCAGCCGAGCTCGACTATTTTAGAGGTCTTCTGGAACGGATCATGACCATTGTCCGCAGCGGAGATCAGGCGCGTGTTGCTCACTTGATCTCCATCATTCGTGCCAATCCCTCTGATACCGACATCTACGCTCTGCTGAGCAACGATCCTGCCATCAATGATATTTCCGAGGATGAAGATGACGAAAGCCCCAGGGAAGAGAACAATTAGAGTGCTACTCGAGTCATGTCTCCCATCAAGTCAAAATCGTGTTCGGCAGGGATTCGTGATAAACTCTATGGGCTATGAGACAGTTTCTCCTCGGGTTGACCCTGGTTGACCGCAGGATGCACTAATGGGGAGGAGAATGGTTGGGTGAAACATTCTGTCACTTAGAATCTGGTTTAGTCGACCACTGAGAAGAGAGAATCACCTGTCTGTTCCTCGGAAGTATTCCCAGATGAAGTTGCGGCTTACAGTACCAGCGCACTATATCATTTTCCGAGGATGTGCCCCAGAGGATAACACCATGAGGAGGTTGTGTCTTGACATTATTTTGCATACCACTAGCTGAGTCGCTCACGATGCCCATTCGGATGCACGTGGACGCTAGCCCATGTGAAGACGACCAGGTTCACACTTCGACTCACTCGACTAAAAGACACAGTATGATTATCATATTGCGTCATCTCCTGATACCACACACACGAGGTCGACACGATCAGCCTAATGCTCGGTTTGACATGCATCAGAACACTGTCTTTCCAACATGAACAACGTCGGCTCGTAAGTGCCAGCGCCATGATCCATTTTCGACCGGTTCCCCCATGCCAAAGTATAGCGGTAGAACATGGGAATGCCACCTCCTACAACAGCAGGTAGACTCGAGCAAGTCGAACGCAAATCTGTTTCTGCCTCCTTCCTAGGATACACTTTCGATGCCAATAGAGCTCCCCAGGCATTGCGCGTGTGGACATAGCCCACCCGTACTAATAACTTTAACAACCGACGCCCTCCCTCTCTCCACCATTCCGCCCAGTTGAACCCTCGAAATCTTTCCCCAATTCACAAATACCTCGTATCTCCACGCGAGAACAATCTCGTATCACATGCCAAACATCCCCGCGGGTGTTGCAACCCGCTCGTATATGTATATACATACCACCCAGGACCATGGCTCGGGAAAGTGTGGGTTACGACCGATCGGATCGGACGCCTTGACCCAAATCCATGGGTTGTCTGCTGCCTTTCTGCTGCAACACTAACTGCTGGGACCAGCTGTTCTCGGTTGTTTGTATGTTCTTCCTCTTGGGTGTTGGCCTTGTTGTGAGGTCTCCAAGCGGCTTCGTGCGTCTTGTCCCCCTCGTTAATACTGGGGATACTTCCGATGGACCTTCTCTCCCGGGTTATTACTGTGACGGATCATATCCGCACGTATACTTTGGAATAAAGCTAAAGCTAGCCGATTGAAATGAAGTCGAAAGGCCTGGGGCAAGAATGCGGCCACTGGAAAAGAGGAGCTAGGCGCCCGTCGGCTAGCTCGCCTCTACGCAGAAGACTCTTGCACATACAGCCTTAATCGAACTACGAACGATCTGTCCTGCGAGAAGTTAGAGGATGGCCTCCGAACACTACATATTGGATTCGCCACGTCGGGATGGAATTCTACCCAGGGAATCTACGTTTACTTCCTCCCAGCTGGATTTGAACATGCAATTGTCGCGATTCTCTTGAAGGGCACAGACAGTCCACATTAACGCGTGATATCTATGGATGCTTTCTACTTTATCACACAACTCCTTAAGGCGTGCAGCGGCCGGTGAAGCGGGGATACAGGGAGCAGTCCCTGACGGTGTAGCGGGCACACAACCAGGCCAAGAAACGCTCGAGACCGAAACCATAACCACCGTGGGGGGAGGTTCCGTACCTAGGAGATGTTAGTCAGGCATATCAAAGTGGTGACAGGGAGAGGTGGGGGTGGGGGTAGAAGCAGGAAGACGTTGACATACTTGCGCTGGTCAGTGTACCAGTAGTAGGGAGAGGGGTCCATGCCCTCGTGCTTGTAGGCGGCCATCAGCTCATCATAGTCGTCCATTCTCATACTACCACCAACGATCTCACCGACACCGGGCATCAGGACATCGACACTCTCGGTGACTCGGCGATCCTGCTCGTCCTTCTTCATGTAGAAGGCCTTGATCTCGGCGGGGAAGTGGGTCAGGAAGATGGGTTGGTTGATAATGTCGGTCATCTTGCGCTCGGCGGCCTCAGCGATGTCATCGCCGAACTCGTGGGGCTTGCCCTCCTCGTTGGGGATGTCGTGCTCACGGAGCCACTCAATAGCATCGGAGTAGCGCATGCGCTTGAAGGGACGGCTGGGGGGCTTGAAGTCGGGGTTGAGCTTCTCGATGAGTGTCTTGGTGGCAGGATCGGCTAGCAAGATCTCGATGACACGGCAAATCATGTGCTCCAGATGATCCAGGAGATCGGTGAAGGTGATGAAGTCCAGCTCCGCCTCAATGTGAGTGTACTCGGACAAGTGACGACGAGTGAGGGACTTCTCAGCGCGGAAAGAGGGGCAAACACAGAAGACATCGCCGAGCGAGGGGAGACAGGTCTCCAGGTAGAGTTGGGACGACTGGGTCAGGTAGGCATCCTCCCCGTAGTAGTCAAACTTGAAAAGAGTGCTTCCACCCTCCACCTGGGTCTGCACCATGGCGGGAGGAGTGACCTCCAGCATGCGCTTCTCTTCGTAGGTCTGGCGGAAAGCCCGCAGGGTGGCAGCGCGAACCTTCATCACCGAGGAAATGGTCTCACCGCGGAGAACCAGATGACGGTTGTCGTAGAGAGTCTGGGGATCGGCGTCAGGGGCGACACGGTTGGAGATGGCATCCTTGTCACCAGCAGCACGGCCGATGATGGTGAAGAAGTCCGCGTGGAGCTCGCGGTTGTCGGGAGCGTGTTGCTTCGGGGGCACAGCACGCATCTCACCGTGGATGGCAATGGAGGTTTCGAGAGTGAGAGTCATGGCGTCGTACGTCTTGACGAGCTGACCAGTCAGAACACACTGAAGGTAGCCGGAACCATCGGTCAGAGTAAGGAAGATAACGTCCTTCTGGGGGCGGAAGCGGTGGACACGTCCAACAACGCGGACACGAGTACCAGGGCCCTCGGATTCGGGAGATCCCAGCTTGACGACGGCGGGGTCGGTTTCATCGAGGCGGATCTTGACGGGCATGGGAAGGGAGGTATCTTCCTTTATGACGACCTTCTTGGCTTCCTCCAGGATGACCTGGCGCTTCTCCGCCTCTTGCTTCTCGCGGATTGCCAGCTCTTGTTCCTTGGCGGCCTTTCTCTTGCGCTGCTCGTAAAGGTTGGTGGCCTTCTTGACGGCCGACTTGGTGGCGGGCTTCCACTCGAGCTTGTCGGCACCCTCCTCAGCGGGCTCGGTCTGGGACTTGCGGGTCAAGTATTGGTTTCCTTCGGAGGGAGGGTGCTGTGTGAAAGCGTGGACAAGAGTCTTGTAAGGAGCGGATTCGGTGCCGGTCGCGGTCGACTCGTCCCGGCCGACATCCTCGTCGATATAGATGGTGGCCATTGTGTTGATCCTCTTGCAAGGTATTGTGGTTTGAGGGTACTGAGTCTATGTTCTAACCAGGGAGCAGTGTGATCAGTGGATATCCATTTGGAGACGTGCATGTGAGTCACACACACCTTCTGCCTTATCAGGGGCGACTGGAGTGGAGGACAGGGGTATGATAAGAGTACGGAACTTACATCTTAACCAATCGGTCAGACAAGGAAATGCTACCACAGCAAGTCCCGTGTGAAGGTGAGGTGAGGTTGTCCGAATCGCACAGTGCGGAAAGACTGTTCTCTCTTGCGGAGGGGTAAATTTCTGGATTCCGCCCAATATCCCCGCGTGTGCCTCAGGCAGAGATGGCTTTAAGGCCACCGGGCATTACTGACGGAACACGCATCCGGTCGTCCCATCAGTCGGTGCGTCATGCCTCAACCCTTCGTAGTTAAAAGCAGAGCATTTTCGGAAGGCTACTCCATATTGGACAACACAAGACACAATTAGTATTCTCTTGATAAAGAGCCTGAGTTTGCAGAATGTCGTTCCCTGCGGGGACATATGAGAGTATAATAGGCACTCATCCTAGACCGCCTCAGTCGCCTCACCCTGCACTTCTGGTCGCTTGCCATTGAAATTCGCACAGATTATGGTATCCTTTGAAGCAGAGCCACTTTTTCCGTCACTTGAGATGACTGAGAGCACTTAGCTCCAGTCTGCCATCGATATGCTCTCCCCCAGATACCATGAATGTGATGTGTCTGACTGTCTGGCTGCCTGTCTGCCTAAGGCACTGACCAAATAGTGGATGCTTCTGCAGCCGGACCGGATCAAGATGAGTTCCGTGCAATATCCCGAAAATCCTCTCTCTGGTCCAGGAACACCCCACCGTCAGACGGTCTGTGGCTGGTTGACACGCCCCCCATTGCCCAATGTGGATAGTGACTACCGATTCCACGGTAACTGATCAGAGGTCTGAATGACTGATCGCGCGCGAGCAGAAGAAAAATAACGTCTGTGAAGGTGATGCATCTTATCCGGATGAAAGACAAAAGAACGCGTCGCGGGAGGAGTGTCGGCCCTCTCTGTTAGGGGCTATCTATGCGCTCGCTTCACATCAAAAAGAAGATCAACAAAAATAAAATCATTCCATTCAGATCCTGGACGCGCGAGGCCAGTGGTCAAAGCCCGCCTGAGACTTGGCTGACAGACACGAAGACGCGGTTGAGACTTGAATCAAAGTACTCGATATACCTCTCAAGAAAGAGGTAATATCATAGCTATGGATACGATACCATTATCATGAAGTGTTGATCCTAGACGCTGGTCTCAGAGCCTTGCCGGCCAAGCAAAAAAAGAACTGTTTCAGACAATCTGGTTGACAGATAGATGGTTGGATCATTCGTTCGATGGGGTCCTTTTCCCCATCTTTGCTTCAAAACTACGGATCTACTAATCAACTCTCGCTCCACAAGGGAAAAGAAGATTATCTGCCACTTCTAAAATTATCGACACCTTCAAAACTTATTATGATGGCTCAATCGACCTTGGCTTTGCCTGAGGAATTTCCCTCACCCCCTTTTGCTTTGGTCCCGTTCGACAAAGACTGCCTAGTTTAATTTCCCCATATCATCGGTCACATACCTGTCTGTCCCCTCTCATTCCTTGCTTACATGATCCTCTCTCTGTGTGGTTACGAATGCTCTTTCTCGCCTTTCTGACGCTTCGTGTTTCTACCCGGAAATTGTCGGCGTTGACCAATTTCATTTGTTTTGGCCCAGTTGTTCATTTAATTTTCAAAGTCTTACCTTTTTGAGTTGAA